TGAGGCCTTCTATGCCAGGAGCAGAGCCTCTAAAGGGTCCTGCTATTTTCCTAAAGATTTGAAGGATACTTCTACTTCTTGTTGCTTTTCCGGCTAGAACCTGACCCCATCACTTTCTTTTTTCCATTTTTGAAATTGAGGGTAGTTGACAGTTATGGAATAAGGATGTACAGGGGCGTCTGGGGGCTCAGTCGGCTGGGTATCTGCCTTCGGCCCAGGTCATGATCTCGGGGTCCCGGGATCGAGTCCCCCGCATCGGGCTCCCTGCTCAATGAGGAGTCTGCTTCTCCACCTCCCTCTGTGCTCCCCCCTGCTTGTGCACAATCATTCAATAAAATCTTAAAAAGAAAAAAAAGAGGGATAAGGCCATACATTTAGTCAAACAGGAGTTGGAAGATGATGTTACTCCATCACCCTCTTGCCCTAGAAAACTCTTCACTGTCATGTTCTGTCCGGGGGAAAGAAAACAATAAACTTTCTAAGTTGAACCCTATGAAGCCGTCACTTTCCTGGGTTCAAAAACGCTCCAGCACCAACAGTTCCATCAGGATCTGTGAAGTATGTGCTTGAAAAAGAAGAAATACACAATAGCTGATTTTTTTTTTCTTTCACTGTCACCTGGTTCTTGCTTCCTGGGGGTTTTTTTCCTCTAAAGGGGTATCTCATTCATTTTTTGGGTAAAGTTTTGTGGTGTTTTGTTTTGTCTCTTTCTTCTTTGACAGTCTTTCCAAAATATTTTTGTGCCTATGCATTCTTCTTTGTTTTGGTTTCTAAGGGAAGGGGGGGACTCTCCCATCTGTCCCCGACTGTGGGACCTGAGACAGCTTTCCAGCCTCCTGGACCTCTGTAGGGTCATCTGCAAAACGAGGGATGAGGCCCAGTTGATATTTAACAGTCCTCTGGCTCCTGTGACATGACCTGTAGGATGTCTTCTCCGTGGCCTCTGTAGTGTTTGGGACATAGAAATGGGAAGTATGCTCCGTAGACATCCACAGTACGCTTAGGAAATGAGGCTCATCCCTACGGACCATAGGACTGGAAGTATTCATCATAGGAAATCTCCTTGATTGAATGCTTACATTTACCGATCGCTGCCCTTAAGTGTTGTCCCTTTTGGACTTTACAAGCATCCAGTGAGGAAGATACTGGTACCGTTTTCTTTTTTTTAAAATTTTTTTTATTTATTTATGATAGTCACACAGAGAGAGGAGTGAGAGGCAGAGACACAGGCAGAGGGAGAAGCAGGCTCCACGCAACTGGTACCATTTTCAATCTGCAGGGAGCTGAGACTCAGGGAAATGGACCAGGAGGCCCATAGGGAGCCAAGCATGGCGCTGGGCTGCAAGCTTGTCCACCATTCTAGAGTGGGGAGTCTGTACTCCGACCTTTTCTTTATCCGCAGGCATTATGTTCCCCTGGGTAATTGCATATTTAAAAAAAAAAATCCATGCACTTGGGAGAAGGGGAATCACAGAACGCTGGTAGGTGAATTATAATCTACTGGAGAAATGAACTTGCTTGCACTTGATAAGCTCGTTATACACTTATCTCATCTAATCTGCCCCAGACGCTTCTCATAGGTGATGCTTTATTTGAAGCAAAGGCAAGTAGCAAGATTAAATATAAGTAGTAATATTATATAAATTGCTAAGAAGTTTCTTTCATTTTTCCAGCTAAGTGAAATTACGGTGCACTTCCAACACTCTTACGTGAGAAGTCTCGAGCCCTTGCCGTCTGTAGTTCCACCTGTTGTCGTGTCTTTGTGCATGAACTTGGGGGAAAGTTATTTACGCAGCAGCCCTGTCAGTTAGACCAAAATCACGGTTTTTAGCCTCATTTATCTGTTGAGGAAACTGTCTTAAAGGGGGGACTTCCTCCATGTTTCTGTCTGAACCATATCCTGGGCCACCCATGTGCTGTTTGGGATGGGTTCGCTTGATCTAACTGTCTCCCTTTTGCATCTTTCATAATCTTCCCATGGCTTTGCGTTTTCAGTGGTTCGGGGCATATTAGTTTAAAATCAACACACAGAAGATCTCTGCCTGACAGGAAGGTTTTCACAAAGTGGTGGCTGTTCACCGCAGCAATCTCCAACAGTGAGAGAGGGCCAGGGGCTCCAGGGCTCATGCGAGGGATTCCTGTCTCAGCGGCCACCCAGACTTTAGGGGCTGGAATTTCAGGCAAATCAGGCCAGCTCCTAAAATCTCTCACTGAGTTAAGGTGAGCGTGAGCCGAGGCTATGACAGCAGGGCCCTTGGAGGGAACGTCGCCCTATCCCACTCTGCTTCCCTCCAGGTCTCACTGTATTCGCTGGGGACGACTGTTTACTCTCACTTCTCCCCTGGGTGTTTCTCCCACATGGGGAGCTCACATTGATCAGTGTGACCCGCGGCAGCTTGGAATCATCATCCCTACTGCTGAGGAATGAGACACAGGATGATGGGCCCTGGAGAGCTGGCACTTCCCGCAGTGCGGGAGCCCGAGCAGACCCACAGGACCCGTAGCAGGCACATCTATGATAGAAGCATCCTCCACAGCATGCAGTTGGCCTTATTCCCTAATACGTAGTGCAGCTAGATTACCAAAAGAGTAATCAAGAGCTACTCGGGCATGTGTTAGCTCAGTTGAGCTGAGACCATGTTCCTTCATTGGACGAGTCCTGAGTCTTCCCCCTAGAGCATCATGGCGTCCTCCAAAGAGAAGTGTCACAGGGAAGATAAAATATGCTCATAAAGCTTAGTTACCCAGACTCCCATGCCCACCCCATAATCATGACAACTGGCTCATCACGAAGACACACGTGCGCACCACCTACTCTATACACCTTTGACCTTTGACCTTTGGGTCAGCTGGCTGAGCCAGGGGTCTCCACTGTCTGGTTCAGGTGTGTGTCGTGGTGGGGGGAGGTGGTCCTCAAGGGATCTGGTCTCCAATCTTCCAGCCTCCGCACCCGGCAGCGTCTCCACTAACAGAGAAGCCTGGTGTTATGTATTGAAGTTCTGTGTCAGTTCAGTCTTCCCACCCCAAAAGAAGAAGACTCCTCTGACCACCTCCCTGGAGTTCTAGAAGTTTGAAACCATTGCTCTTAGGCAGTGGTAAGGAAAAACAAGTCATCGTATGGTCCATATACCTCCTACATTCTCCCATTCAGCGTTTCTGCAGTTATGGAAGAGGTGTCAGAGAGCACCAAGATTGTTAGCCACCATTCCAGAGCCCTGGAAATATCACTACCCCAACGCACATTGACTTGGCTTCCACGTAACATGGGCCTTTCAATCAGTTCCTCTTTAGCTTTTTGTTTTTTCCTTGGGAAATTCTTACAATCCTGCCCCACCTTGAATGATGCATCTTGCGTTGGCTGTACAAACGTACCCAGTGATGCTCTTCCTGAAAACACGCCAGTTGTGGCCTCCGCAGCTGAGCTGGAATACTCCACTGGGATGTCCCCAAAGCATCGCCTTGGTACCTGCTTGCGTGGTGTCAGTTCAGTTACGCCCGAGAGGTCACGTCCTCTGCCGGGACTGGTGCGCTCTTCTTGCCGATCCCCTGAACTGTTGGTGGTGGTGGTTCAAACAGGCGAGCACACTTCAATCTTCCTGGCCATGTTTTCTAGGTCCTTCTACACTGTCCTGATCATTTGTACGCTCTCCCAAAAGTCTGGGCTCTTCTGTGCGGGGATGTCCTTCATCGCCTGGGAAGCCAGGTCACTAGCCCAGCCAGCAAGCATGTGACCCACCCCTCCTCACCTTTCACTTCTTTTAACCTCCTTTAGGGCTGGAATCTCCACTGGCCTTTTAGGTCTTCTAGAGCAGCTCTGATGGGTTATTTCACATCAGCTCCGGGCCTCACCATCTGGTTCTTGCATGTGGTTTGTGTCTCCTAACCCAATTTTAAGTGATGTCTGGAAGGTTAGGAGATACAGGTGTTTCAGTTTCAAGGGAGAAAAGAGTATTTTCTGCCAGCCATGGCTTTCCAGTGCTGGATTTCTGGGAGTGGGTCGGAGGGGTGGGTTCCCCACTGCTGGAGCCTCTGGCTAAAAGTAATTCTAATGTGGTCACAGTAGGTACCAGCCATCCTGGAAAACCTTGTTTCATTAGGTAAATCTCTCTTTGTGAAGGGTAACCAACTCGGTGGTCATGTGCATTATATTGTGTTTCAAAGATAAGAATTCCACAGAGGGAATCACGATCCCAGGAGGCGTTGGATTTCCTGTTCCAGCTCTTTGCAAGCTTGCCTTCCCCACCAGGTTGACTCAAACCAGGCCACTGCCAGAACGTTCCCCAGCTCTTTAAAAAGGCAGTGAGCAGACCCCGAATCTATAGCTCTGAGCACAATATCTGGTGAGGTGACCTTAAAAACAGATTAATCTGAAGGTGGCATGGAGCCCACAGGCAGGGGGGTAAGTTGGAACCACCTTGCAGGAAAAAAATGTGCAATGATACGTGGCGAGCCTCAAAAGTGTAGATGCCTTTGGACCCACTCGTGAAACTTCTGGAACGCTTACTAAGGACGCGTGCAAAGGTTCGCGAGCTACTAGGATGTTCATCACAATGCTGTTTAATAGGGAAAAAGAGTGAAAACGATATAAATTCAAAAATAGAAAGAATTTAAATAAATTCTAGTGTCGCCATGCAATGGGAAAGCAGGCAGGCATCATAAATAAAGTTGTGGGAGTTTGGTCACTGGCTTGGAAAAGTGCCCATGAGAATGTCCGACAGTTACCATCTATTTTGATAAAATAGATCCCCGCATGTTATCCATGATGTATAAATGTATACACATGTACGCAGCCTCCCTGCTGGCCAGGCTGTAGCTACCACCACCCTTGGCGGTGACTACAGCCCAGAGACTCAGGCCGCTGCTTGTCTCCTCAGGGAAGGAAAGCCCTCCGGTGAGTGACACCCCAGATGATGGGGATGAACCCATGCCAGTCCCCGAAGACCTTTCCACCACATCTGGCGGACAGCAGACCTCCAAGAATGAGAGAGGAGTGGGTGAGTCGGCCGTCTAGGCGTCCCGTTGGTGGGCTGTCGCACGCTCTGTTTCCGTACCACCCCCGTCCCTTCGTATCCTTCCAAAGTCGGTGGTTGGGTGGTGGGATCATGGTACCTGCTGTTTCCCCTCAACCACCATGTTAAGAAGGTGCAGGTAAAGATCAGCAGGCTGGGGCCCTGGTGTGTGCAGGAGGACAGACACAGCTCCCCGTGGCTGTGACACCCACACGGACCGCGTGACAGAGTGGAAGAGCACCCCGCCGCGGGGCGCGTCCCTAGTGCTGTCTCCTGTCCCCTGGGTGCTGCAGGAACATCCAATTTTATGGATTATAAATAATGAAAATTATGCATTTCCTGTGTTACAGCAGTAGGATAGTTAGATTTAGAGCTTTGGTTTAATTTTTTTTAATTTATTTTATGATAGTCACAGAGAGAGAGAGAGAGAGAGAGAGAGAGAGAGAGAGAGGCAGAGACACAGGCAGAGGGAGAAGCAGGCTCCATGCACCGGGAGCCTGACGTGGGATTCGATCCCGGGTCTCCAGGATCGCGCCCTGGGCCAAAGGCAAGCACCAAACCGCTGCGCCACCCAGGGATCCCTAGAGCTCTGGTTTAGAAGAAGCCAAATCTGCCCGTTTTATGTTATCCCTCTGTGTTTCTTAAATGCCAAAGTTAACTCCAAATACGAAATTTGAGGAATAGAAATTGTTGACTGTCGAGAATGCCTCTTCTCACACAGTTTTTCCATAAAGAGGTAGGTATGTTAGGTTCTTCAGTCCTTCCCGGGGTGGACGGACCCTCACGGTTCATGTTGGCAAAACCTGGCCTACCCTTTTTATTGTAGAACTGAGGCCACAAGAAGTTCAGGGAAATAACCGAAGTCACATATGGAGTCAGTGTTAGGCTAAATTTCTAACTCAAAGTCTAGTTTTCACACCTTTGTACCATGTTCTTGTGAGATAATGAGTCAGTGATTCCTTAGAATACCTATTTTTCTCTTTCTTTTCTTAAAGTAAAAAAAAAAAACTGACATTGAGAGCCATTTATTTGTATGAAAGAATATTACAAACGGTGTCCAGGGTGACCTGAGGTGGGATGGGTCCCCCGTGCAGCAGCTGTGCAAGCCCCACAGCCAAGAGGGCGACATGTGTGAAGTTCTCAATGTTATGAAAACCTTCACAGCTTTCTCTCCATAGGACATCGTGATGTAGGAACTAAGAAATGCATTCTGTGTGTCTTCACGTGTCTCAGAACCCAATGAGACGTTGAGCTTAAGGGTTTTCTTCAAAAAAATAACCCTACAGTTAATTGTACCAACAGATGAGGATAGTGGCTGAAGTCATTTGATATAGGGGAACCAAGAAAACAAGGACATTCGTGACTTGTTTTCCCTGTCAGAGCACGGCTGCTGGATGTGGGACAGTGAGTGGGAAAACAGGCATTTCTGGATTTTCTGCTCCGTCTACACACACCATTTCAGGGGTTCTCAAAGTTGGGACACAGAAGAGCATGCTTCTGTGTCACTGATGCATTTATTTTTAAGATTGTCTTGCATTTGTTGCAAGGGATACAGGTGTATCGTCTACTGCACTACTACTATGACACTTCAAGACACATTTATGTAAAGTAGAATGTCGAATTTTAATAAAAATATTAAGCCAGAGGAGGCGCACATGCATGATAAAGACTTGCAAAGGTGGTGCGTGAATCGCTAATGTCGGGGCAACCCTGCTTTGGGGTTCAGTCCTTAAGGCCACCAGTGAGGCGGGTACTGTTATCTGTACTTCGGGCTGCAGCAGGTGCACGCGCGCGCGTGACCCACCCAGGACACAGTGAGGGGGTTGCTCAGAAGAAATCGCATAAATAGGTAGCCATCAATTGTTCAAATAACCTGAGAGCCTGGACGTCAGCGTTAGGGCTCCAGGCTCATCGTGGGGGAAACCAGGGAGCGCTCCCTGAAATCCCCGGAGCTGCCCTGCAGCCCGTGAGCCCAGGTCATGATGGGTGTCCTTTAGAGAACTGAAAGTCACCCGATTCCTGGAGAGCAGAGGTCAGCACACAGTGCACTTGGTGGAGGTGGGTAAACAGTCCGTACAGATGCCTTCACAGTGCTCTGGATGCAGTGCCCCGGGTCAGCTTCCGGTCGCTGGAAGTTTCTGCTGGTGCGAGGCCCCCAGGCCCCTGGCAGGTGCTCGCGACTGCCTCCCAGGCCTGGTTCTCCTGGCTCAGGCTTGGGCCCTGGGTGCCAGCACGTGGAGCTGGGGCTGACTCCCCGTGCGCTCCTGCCAGTGCTCCCTGGCTGTCGGCTGATACAATTTGAATTCCGCTCCTCTTTTTAGGATGCAGTTTGTGACAAGTGAATTTCAGAATAACATTTAAAAACACCTGAGAAACCTCTCCACCTGGTTTGTAATGCGCAGTTGTGGTGGCCATAGGGACAGGCGGGGAGAGCTGCTCGAGGTGGGGGCCAAGACAGCTTCAGCAAGCCGGCCCTCCCGGGGCGGGGGGCACTGGGGCCACAGGGGCGCTGGGGCTCTGCCCCGAAGCTGACAACACAGAAGCCCGGCAAACAGTCGAGCACGCGAGAGGGGAGGAGTTTGAGGAGCACTTCGGGAGACGGAGAATCCCCGAAGACAGAGAATACCCGGAGACCAAGTCCAAAGAGCCGCCAAGGAAGTGTCTTGTGCTTCAGGGAACCTGGTTGAGAAGTCATCCTTGGGGGGTTGAGAGGGAAACTAGGTGGCGTTAGCCTAGTTGTTGTTGATGGAAGTGACTCTTCATATATAGGGTCACGGGGAGAATGGAGGGAGTTGCCTCCCGGGAGGACAGGGAGGCACGTTGGAAGCCACGAGTCACACCGGCTCCACAGGAAGAAGCCAGAAGAGCAGAGGAGTGTTGGAGGACAGACAACAGGAAATGAGAAGCAGCCTCTCCCAGCACCGAAGCAGCGAGGCCCCGAGGGCCCCGAGCACTGCGGGGCACAGGTCCCCTAGAGGGGCAGGGGCGGTGGCTCTGGGGTGGGGGCCGTGGAGCCGGGAAGGCCCATCTCAGAAGGGTCACCTCCAAGCCCCGCTCCCGGTCGGTGCTTCCGGCCCACTTTTGACCACGGAGCCTGTTTCCTCATTTTCGAGAGGCGACAGCAGCAGAGCTCATCTCACAGAAGGGCTTCTCGGGTCACGTGAAAGCCTAGAAACGTGCTTTGCTGAACACGGGGCGGCAAAGACCTACAGTGAAAGAGAACAGGAGAGAGCAGAGAAAGGAAGCAATTTGTGCAAAACAGGCCCTTAAAGATGTATGAGATAAGGGGCGAGGGCACCTGCTGTGGCTTTGCTGGAGTGAAGGGAGAGAGAAACCAGGTAGTGCTGGGGACAGCTATTTATCAATAATAGTAAAAAAGGGATTGATCCAAGGGCTAGGCAAGCCACAGGGAGGGATTAGAAGAGAGCTCGGCGGCGCTGGCCACTGCCAGACCCAAGTGCAAGGACAAATGGCCAAATGCCAGAGGGTGGGAAATCTCTGGCAACGCTCGACGTGCCCCCTGGCATGTCTGCTTTAGGGGGAGAAGGGGATGCGTCCGTAAAGCCAAGGCCCTTGCAGCAGGTGCGCTCCTTCAGGTGTAGACACGTCGGATCTCAGCCCTAGTCCCCAACACACCGGTCGGGGTGGTGGAAATGAGCCCACGTGACGGGCGGTGCTGTTCATGCTGACGGTGGGCCGTTCCCAGGGTGACCCCATGCTGAGGGGATGCTGGGGGACCAGAGGAAATATGGTCTCTTGGATTCAGAGAGAGAGAGAGAGAGAGATGGGGAGCAGACGTCAGAGCACCTGGCTACAGCCCTTGGGTGGCCTCCCCCGATCCTGGGCCTGAGTAAGAGGGAACAGACTGGAAGTGCAGCTTGACGCACTGAAGTCAGACTCAGAGGAGGACTTCCGGGTGGGGAGGGACTCAGTCTCCTTCATGGGATGGGAGCTTGTGCTTCTGAAGTGGTCGCTTTAACAACGAGAGAAATCTCACCTCTCTGAAGTGGTTGTGTGTGAAACTGCCGAACGCCGACCGTGTCCTCAGTGACCTCCTCGGGCAACCCCGGGTTTACCCCCGCCCCCCACGGGCGGCCAGGCTAGACACGCGGAGGACGGCTCGGCGTTGCCTGCCACGGCCACTGGCCGGGGGCTCGCGCGGCGTCTCCCGTGGGAACGAAGCGGGTGGGCGCCCCGAGCAGCGGCCGAGCCCGCGGGGAACAAGTGAGAAGCTCGGTGACTTCCTTCCTGTGTTCGCGGCCCCGCCCCGGGCCTTCCTTGTGCGCCGCCCGCGGGGGCCAGTGTGCGTGCCCTGACCTGGGGCGAGGAGGGCCCCCGAGTGCCACGGAGGAGCCTGCCCCCCCCCGGCAGGTGGGATGTGGAGGAGGCCCCTCCCCGGGGCTGAGAGACAGGCCACAGGGGAGGAGGCTTGGTGGCCGGAGTGGGAGCAGGGAGGGACACGAGCCAGGGAGCCGGGGGCCCGACCAGGGAGACGCCAGCGCATGTGGCCCTCGGGCGAGGCACAGCAGCGCCGCCGGGGGCGGGGGGCACGGTCCCCCCGGTGCAGAGGCAGCCACCGTGGCTCTGCAAGTGGGTCACCGAGGGGCTGGCCTGGCCTTGCCGCAGTCACCGGCCGCCGCACCGTCTGCTCCTCCGCCGCCCTGGGCTCGGGTGTGGGTGCGAGCGTGCATTTCTGAAGGCCCCAGTGCCTTCTGGAACAGGCTTCTCTTGCCTCTGCTCGCTTGCCTGACCTCGCCCGGAGCTGGGGGGGGGTCACCGTGGTTTCACCCGGGGTTTGTTTCTGGGCTTAAGTCCCCCTAGGCCGCATGTCACCACGTGGTGTCTGGAGCCAGGCCCTGTGGCCTTCTGGAAGCTGAGATGGCGTGACCTTGGGGCCTCTCTCTTGAATCTTTAGGGCACGGTTTGATTCACCCCAGCAGAAACAGAAAGAAAAAAAAAATCTATTTTTTTTTTAAAACCCAGAA